ATGATTTTGTTTGTATTGATCTTGCTTGGGGTTTGTAGACGTTCTCAGATTTCTGGTTTGATGTCTTTCATGACTTTTAGAAAATTCATAACCAGTATGTCTTCAAATATTGATTCTTTCCAATTTATTTTCTCCTTTTACTTTGAAATTTCAATTACATACTTGTGAAAAAACTTTTCACCCCGTCATATGCATTTTATACTCTTTTTTGTGCTTTTCATCCCTTTTTTCCTTTTAGATCTTCAATCTGATTGCTTTCTACCGATCTAGTTTTCTTCTGTGTATTCTTTTTAGTTGTGTTAAATTGGCTATTAAATATCTCTGTTGAATTCTTCTGGTTAACTGACAGTTACAGAACTTCCTTTCTAATAGATTCTAGTTTTATGGTAAAATCTAGCATTTCCTATTTTTCTGAACATATTAGGCATAGTTATTCTAAAGCTTGTGGCAGCTAATTCTAGGATCTGGGTAGCTAGTGAGTCTTTTTGTCTGTTTTCTTGGATTTTAGCTATTTGACGGTATTTCCTGCCATGCTTGGTAATTTCGGGTTGGATGCTGACACTACATGTGAAAAGCCTTAGGGATGATTATTTTGCCTTCACAGGGGAGTTAGACATATAGAATACTGGCAGATGGTCTTGATCTTCTTAGGAGTAGAAATTATTTGAGAGCAAGCAACCTTAACAAAGCCTGTTGCAATGACCAGGGCCTTTCTTTTTTGTCTTAGCGTCATGATACTTTAACAATCTTTGCTTAGATTTTCTTATTCAGGGCTTATTTGAAGCTATTTCTTTGCTTGTTTGGGGCTACTTTGACATTACTTTTTTACTTGGATGTTGGACTCTTGCTATGTATACATCTCTGGCATAATCATATTATGCTGTGTCGAGAATTCTGAGTTCATTTCTTTCTAGTTCCATTTTCCAGGATATGGGTATATTGATGGATTGATATTATTATATTAATTTGGCCCTTGATGCTAAGGACCAAACCCAGAGCATCGTGCATGCTAGCCATGTATTCTACTAGCCCTTGTATTATTTTTACCATCAGTTTCCAGGAACCTTGATAGCCCAGAACGCTAATTTTTTTTAGAGACGTCAAAGGAACTTCCCTAAGTGTTAGAATACCACTCTCTGCTTGGCTTCTACTTAAAACAACAGGTGCTCCAAGGATTCCTGAACATTGACCCTTTGAGTTCTGGCTGCCTTAGTTACAGTCAAATGCTCTTTAAAACTTAGTTTTAAAATTCATCTTTTGTAGATTTTCTTAGCATTAAGATTAGTCCAACACAAGTTACTCTTTTGTTACCTAAAGTAGAACTCTATCTTATTTAACTTTCCTAGTCTCACTATGAATTCAGTATTGTTGCTTTGCTTTTGAAGGTGGAATACTGTTAGCTGCTGGGATTAGATTTTGAAATATAAATCTCAGCTGGCCACTGACCAAAATGTAAGATGTTGGACAAATTTGATGCTTCTCTCATTTTAGTTAATATTGAAAAGTGAAGTGGAAAAAATCTTGAAGGATCAGATAATCTTGTTTTTATTTAAACTCTTTTGGAATATAGTAAAAGAAAAACTTCTAAATGTATTCTATAAAGCTGGTATCATTTGAAATTCCTGGACCTGAAAAAAAATGATACATCCATCTCATGTGTGAGTATAAATATAAAAATTCCAGCCAATCAATATGATCATATTTAGAATCATAGCAAAAAGAATCCTGCAGAACATTTTAAAAAGTATGCCATGACCTAGAAAAGCTTATTTGAGAAATACACAGATAGTGAAATATTGTGAAATCTACTATACAAATCATCATGTTAACAGCACTAAGGAGAAAAAAATCATATGATCAGCTCCATAAATGCAGAAAAGTACTTGGTAAAATTCAACACATATGTATTTTATTTTATTTGTCATTCAACAAATATGTATTGAGCATCTGCTCTATTAAGTACTGAGGATGCAAGGGAAAAAGATACAGGCTCCATTTCAGCTGTCTCTCCAGGGGAGGGAAGCAGTCAATACATAAATGAGTAAGAGAACAAGCTGTTTTTAGCTAGAAGACACACTTACTTCAAAAACAGTACAATGTATATTGATTTCATTAATATAATAAACATATATCAGGCCAAAAGACTTCATTTTATTAAATAGAGAAATGCTATGGGTTTTCTTTTTAAAGCCAGAAACAAGATAAAGATGTCCACTATGTCTGCAACATTTAACATTGGTTTGAAGAATTAGTTAAAGCAAGAAGACAAAAGAAAACACAAAAGTACAGACACTGGAAAGAGAGAGATTACTGCTACTTATAGGTTTTATAGTATACAAATAGGACTCCCCAAAGAATCAATGGAGGGGCCGGGGGTATAGCTTAGTTGCATAGCGCCTGTCTGGCAAGCACGAGGCTGTAAGTTCAGTTCTTGGTACCAAAAAAAAAAATCCCAAAACAAACAAATGAACAACAACGACAACAAAAGAATCAATGGAAAAACTATAACAATAAAAAATGTAAATCTGGGTGTAGTGGCGCACACCTGTAATCCCAGCACTCAGGAGGCTGAGGCAGGAGGATCATTGCAAGTTCGAGTCCAGCCTGGGCTACAAAGTGAGCTTAAGGCCAGCCTGAGCTGCATATTGGAGACCCTGTCTCAGAAAGATGAAAAACAAACAAACAAAAAAATAAGAAATGTAATCAAATGGTTGGTTATAATATCAATATAAAACATTAATTGCCATCATATGTACAAATAAAAACCAGCTAGCAGAGGTAATGAAAAAGAATATACTTATGATAACAAAAAAAGGCATATTCAGAATATATACAAGGAAAGTGATGGAAGACTCTTGAAAGAAGCAAAAGTAGAATTGAGGAAATTATTAGAAATGTCATTTTATTAGCGAACATGATACGACATTACATAGATGTCAGCTTTTCCTAAGTTAGTATACAGATTTTGTGTTGCCACAATAAAAATCTGGTGAATTTTTTTCCTGGAGCTATAAAAGCTTAGTATGACTGTCTCTTGACCCACAGATTCTACATGGAGTTGTTTCTAGGAATGGAGGTTCCAGGCCCTGCCTCACAGTGTGGAGAGCAGTTTGGCGAAAGCCGAGTTTGCTTTGTACCTGATGCCTTTCGTGGCTTCCGTATCTCCGTGCCTTCTCCCTCTGCCCCCATCTCTGGCCTGAAGGGGCCTCCCGCAGGCCCAGCATTCTGGAGCCTCATTTGTTGACTATGCCGTGGGGTAGGGCTCAGCCTGTAACATTTCCATTGTCCCCACTAGGGCTTCTGCTCATTAGACAAGTGGCTGCCGAGGAATGGAGCCCGCTGGACATACCTTCCAGGTCCGCCTCAGGTTCCTATCTAGTACTGCCACCCCCCGGGCGACAGGAGGGTGCTACAAAGAGTGCTAACCCGAGAAAGACACTGTCACTGCTTTATTTTTTAATTTTTTTTATTTTAAAGAGAAAAGACCAAAAACAAAATAACAAAGACAAAAAGAAAAACAAAACAACACAAAAACAATAAAAATGCTACAGAATTTCAAAACAAGATGATAGGAAATTAACAATGGTTGTTCTTTTGCATATTGTTATCTTCAAAGTAGTTGCTCAGATTACCACATATAGGCATGCAAGATTGATAAAACAATTAAACACTGACTGTTCCTTTCAATAAACCAATAGAAATTAGTAGTATAATTACCTTAGCTTTGTTATTATAGCTATAGTGTATGTGTGTGTGTATATATATATATTTCTTTCTCTTTCTTTCTTTCTTTCTTTCTTTCTTTCTTTCTTTCTTTCTTTCTTTCTTTCTTTCTTTCCTCCTTTCCTTCATCCCAGTTGTTCTTTTTGAGCAGTTTCTTTCCCTTTCACAATATCTATTGTACCTTTCAGATTTTATGTCACTTGCTTTAAAAGCTCTAGTGCTGAATGATTTTTGTTGTGGTAGCGAGGCACTGCTTTAGCATGGATTTTCAGCTTTTTCTCACCCTTAAACTTTGTATCCTAAACTGGTCACTTATGATGAATTGTAGATACTTTTTATTAGTTAGGAAACAATATATGTTTCCAGGATTTTCTCCCATTACTTCTCACTGGAGCTTTTCCTTCTTCCCGAGCTGCCCTGCGCTGTCTTACCGCACTCCCTGCTTTTCTGCTGTTCTCTCTTCTGGTGCCCCTCCTCCCCTGTTCCTGTCAGAAAACCTGCCCATTTTCAGTGCTGCACTGAAAAGGTCTTTTGAACACTTTTCCTTACATTCCCAGCTGAAGTACTGGTATTTATCTTGGTGAATCACCCTTGATTTCTCAGTGATTTGTATTTCTTCTGTAGCTCTCTGTTCCACTAGGAACATTAATGCAGAGGCTCTGTTTTACCTGAGCAGTTTCTGACACAGTTTGTTTATTGTACTGCACATAGCTGCCATCAAAAACATGAAACAGAATTAGGAAAATCTGAGAGCTTCGTTTTGTACAGTGGCATGGTTTCCTTTGGAAACTGTTAGTTGGCTATAATTAGTCACTAGATGATGGTGGCAATGAGCCACGCAGAAACAATTAGTGATCTCTGCAGTGGCACCAAAAAGGAGTACGTGCTGCTGGTCAGATACTCCTCGTACTCTCTGCCAGATCCAGTGAGAGCACCTGCACACAAGGCAGAGGAGCGTACATCGACCTGGAGCAGTGTCTTGTGGAATACCTGGGCCAGGCTAATACCACTTTAGGAAGATCCTGCAAGTAACCCGTGCCTGTTCAAACTACATGATTAACAACATTTTCTTTGCCCAAGCCCTCAGAACAACAAGTTGTTTACATTTGTAGATGTGTGTGTCTATGAGCTGAGCAGAACCAGTTTTGCGAAGTTTCATGTTCTCACTAGTTTGTCCACCTTTTTGTGAATGTGTAACTAACAAGAGGTGAGGTGTTTGCAAGTATCTGTACACATGAATTATTCTTCAAAAAACACAAGTCTTTCTTTTCTTTCAGGAACCCAGAAGCTTTGAAGTCACAAGAAGAGAAGGTAGGGAGAATGCACTCATATCCGCTTCATTCTCAGTGCTGACGTTTTGGAAGTAGTATGTTGAAACTAAGGTGGACTTGGGCTGCTGACAGCTATTCTTTGGAAATTCTTCATGCCTTTCTGGGGGATGAGTGCTTGGCATTTGGCTCTAGAGACTCAAGAATTTCAGGGCTGGTTTTCTTGTGAGAGCTATGGCTTCTACCTTCAAGCATCAGAGCCAAGCTGTGGGGAGCTGACTCATTCGTGACCACCCTCATGGTCTCTGAACAGGGGCCTCATTTTTTAAAAAATTTAAGTTAGAAGTAATTCTTTGGCTTCATCCAGCAAGAACAACATCAATGACAAAAATTGTTTACAGTTCGAGGTATTTCAATATCTGGAAAGAGATGCCGGTGTGAAAAATATTTCTGATTAGATTTTTACAGCTTCAGCTACGCTGAAATAGAAATAACCAATTAATTTCCCTTTGAAAACAATTCCATGATGTTCCCTCTCCTCTGCCAGCATTCCTCTAGCACATTTGCTTTCTGGTCTCTGAGGTAAGCATATATGGATGATAATTTCAGAAGTCTTTTAGTGGAAATTGAAATTTTCCTTATTCACTTTTACATAATACCAGTCTATAACAAGGGTATCTTTTGTGTGATCTGTCGAATCATTGAAAATGATCTCCTTGTTGCAGGGATGGGAGGAAATTCAGAAATCAAAGTAAATTTTGGATCCAGAGTATGGTCTTGGTTTTTAGCCTTAATCTCTTCCTTCTCTTTGAACTGATTCATTTTGGTATTGATTCCAGTAAAGAGGGATATGAGAAAAATAAAAAGTAAATTCCATATTGGCTCCCAAATCTAACATAGTCTTGGGCCCAGTTAGTTCCTGTTATGCAATACAATGAAAGACCTAAGATGGCCATGTTGTCCACATGTGTTTCTAAGAGTCTGAGAACATAACCTTGAAGTGCTGCACTATCTGAATCAGGTGCCACCGGCTGTGCTGTCCACGGTGCTGAAATCTAACATTGAAAGGATCTGAGTAAATTTAACCCCAGCTTGCACTTCCTAGCTTCTATCCCTGTTTGCCATTGTCTTTGGTTTTGGACCTAATGTCCTCTGAACGGTACCATTATGGAGAACTGCACTGTTTGTATATTTGTACCAAATGAAACCAAATAAAGGCAGAGGGGTGCAGGTAAGGAATTTTAAAAATTGAAAGTTGTGTTCATAATTGGCACAGTGACCTTGTAAGCTGGAGAGAAATCGCCATAATGGGAAGAGAAGTTGCTATGAACTTTGGTTTTCAATATTATTCATGTCAATATTTCTGAGTGTGGATGTTTGGAATCAATTTCCATTAAAGAATCATGTATAAATTTAACCTTTTTTGGAATCTTACTGTTCATGTGCTGGAAATGTCTCTAATAAGGCTGAGTTGATGGGAAAATCATGTATATTTCCACCCAAAGGCATAAAATGTTCTTCTTGAGCTTATGGTGTCAAATCCCCAGAGAAACAGAGTGTCCAGAGGGTGGGCAGGGGCACGGTCAGGTTGTGCTGTCCTTATCCACAATTTCCCCTCTCTGGATGCATCAGCTCTCACAACTAGTTGTACTAACAAATTTGTCCCAACATCACATAAACTTTTCCCTTCTGATTGTGAACTGATGTTTTTCTTTCCTGTTTCTATCAAAGTTGAGTGTTCAAGGGTTCCTGAAATAGCTCAGTGTTTTGATGTCAGTGCTTATAACTAGGCAGGCAGGCAGGAAGGGAGAGAGGGAAGAAGGGAAGCAGAGAGAGGGAGGAACCTTATTGGTTCCAAGTATTTTTGGGTCTGAGAATTTACTGACAGGGATTGTGAGGTTGCTAATCTCTGAACAGTGTATGAGTATAAATATGACAGAGGCACTTAATATTTCAGTAAATAATTATTCCATCAGACAGAACTAGAAACACAGACTTCAGGTTGAGTCCTTGTTATCACTTGACCTGGAACTGAAAGAGGGCCCAAAGAAGTATGGAAGCCTTTAGATCTAGGGAGGCATCCTCCTGACCACAGAACCCAAGAGGGTTTCCCATTCGGGCTTGTTTTGTTTTGATACTGCACCTGACTCAGAGGTGTCAGCTCTGTCTAGGGTTTAGTGTCATAAACTGATGACTCATTGTGATTTCCCAGTATAGGACTTTTGTAAACCCTGGACTTAGTCTGTAGGTGAGAAGTGGGAGGCGCTAATATTGGCCTTAGAAGTGGAGTCCAGGCTAATCACAGTGGGTGATGGGGGGACTTGGGTGAATAAATGAGTGTGTGTGTACCTGACTGCCCCGTCCTTCCTCCCAGCCTTAAGCCTGTGGTGTCCTGCTTCCAAGACTGTGGCCTAGCTTTCTTTGTTCTGACTCTACTCACACTGCTCCTGCCACTTTCATGCTTTATCCTTCATCTCAAGTTTATTTCTCCTTCATTCTTTCAGACTCTTTTTCTGCAAGTATTTAGCTCACCCTGCTAGTCTGAGAGGTAGGTGCTCCTCCCTGGTTATTCACTTCCTGAAAACAGGACCCCCACCCATCCATTCATCCCGTGTGCCTCTCGGCACAGCCCTGGCCCAGGGCCAGTTGTTCAACTACTGTTTCTTGAATTTAGCGCAAGTTACCCATTTCCTTTATGTGTAGGAAAGTAGAAATCCCCTGAGTTTGGATTTCCGGTTTCTAGAACTTTGAGGAAACAAGTTTTCTGCTATTTTAAGCCAAGTAGTTGGGCAGCCCCAGGACACTAATACCCTTGGAAAGTGTTGGACTCAATAAACTTGAGCTAGTTTTTGTTGTTGTTGATGATGTTTCTACTGCAGAACTACTCAGGGTTTTTCATATGTTAAATATGACTCTCAACAGAGTGTGGAATATGCAGCATTTCCCAAACTTAGTTTCCCGTGGGTTTAAACTAAATCAACTTTGTTGGTTTTGATGCTGAGGCTGGCTTTCCGTGGAGTGCCCTTTGCAAACCCTGCTGTCCGGGGCCCAGAAGGGCACCAGGAGCTGTCCTTTGGAGGCTGTCTGCGTACGATGTGAGGTGGTAAGAGGGATAACGACTTCCTGGTGTCCTGAAGTTTTCAGAGTCCTTTGGTCCTGTGTTGCCTTTGACATTCAGTAACCCATGACACCAGCAGAACAGATAACACCTTTTACATGAGACTGCTTTCTCCCTTTCCATGTTAATTTTGAGTAGAGACAAGGACTCCCTGAACTAGTACCTGGGCCACTCTCTAATGGGGGGCCATTGTTTAAATGAGCTGCTCGTTGTTTATCCCATCCCATCGCTTCTGTAAAGAGAAGTTCCTGGGCTCTTTGGATCCAAATTAGCTATGTGGTAAAGACTGCCTCAGAGAACGCTGAGGGAGACACAGTGGTAGAGACCAGAGGCCAGGGCAGGACTACAAGACGTCCAGGGTCTCTCCTGGCAAGAGTACGTGCCCTTGGAGAGGGAGATGGAGCCATTGCTCCTTCAAGAGAGTCATGTATTAAACTCAGTCCCTGGCCCTGGACCTGCCTGTGCTTGCTGCATGGGGCAGGAGCTAGGGCTGCATCTTAGTCGTGTTCCTGCACAAGTGTTGTATCCCTCCCTCCAGACACCCAAAATTTAATTCCAACCTTTTCTGAAGGTTGAGCAAGTGGTGCCAACCTCCCCTGTCCAAGACACTCTCGCATCCACTCTGAGGACCAGTGTTGACTGTGACTGCCAGAATCCATCCACTCACACCAGTACTTTCCCCTGACTGATCCCATCACACTGAATTACAGCCATGAGAGAACACTTGAATGAGCTGAGTGAGTGGCTGGGATAATTCAGCCCTTGTCAACGCCTGGTAGGAGCAGGGAGTGATCTGTAAGTATTCCAGATGTCTGAGAGTGCACTGTGATTAGGGGCTGCGAGTTCGGGGATGGGCACCGTGTCACACTGTATTACTCCCCGTCCCACTGACGGCTCACTCATTCTGTTCCGTCCTGGTCTGGCTTCCAGCAAGGCTGTGAGGGAGCCTGGGAGAGGAGCTGTGCTGCTGTCTCCAGGGAAAAGGAAAGAAGGGAGTGGCAGTCACACACACAGCCTGGAAGACTGGTTGCTTGGCTACTTAGCAATGCAAATCAGCAGAAGAAACACAACCTGCCAGTCCGGATTGGGAAGCTGGAGCCTCCCTTTCTGAAGACCCTTGGGTTAGTTCCTAATTGGCAGCACCTTCTAATAGCCCCTTTATAGTTCTCTGCATCTGGATGAACTTGAGCTATCAAGAATCGCATTCTGCTTACCATTAATTTTGATTTTGTTCAGCAGATGTTTTCTGGATCTTGCAGTTGCCTGCATAATCTATCTCAGTGTAATATGAAGTGGCTGACTCTTGGATGAAAGAGACTAATAAACACCTGGGTTCTTTGGAGGTAACTTCTCTAATGGCGGCAGATGGAGGGAATGTAAAAGGAAGCCATCCCGCGTTGACAGTGCCTGGGGTGGTGGGTCTTTTCAATTCAAGCTGCCATCTGGGGAAAGAGATGAAGTTTTCTTCCCCATCTCACTCGTATCCCACAGTACAGCATTGCTCATTTTTCTAGTCACTGGGCTCAAGGAAGTGGAATGACATCTACCTCTGTACGTGCTGAAGCCCACAGAAATGGGATCTTCCTGAGTAGTGCTGCCTTTTTTCAATTGATGGAAGTCTATACTACACCCAGTTGGTTACAAGTTGAATAGGACGTTGGCAGCACAGCTGGCTGGGGCATTCTGCCTAAGTGCAGTGAGTCAGTAGTAGTTTCCATCATACCCAGTGGGCAGCTGGTAGAGTCTTTGGGTATCCTCCACTTACTGTGTGACTTTGGGTATTACTCACCCTTATCTGAAGACAAGGGGAATGCTAATAGTGCTTACGCTGCTTCCAGCTCTGGATGATAGAAATCCAACTTCAAGAGTGGATGTAGCTTCAATAATAGCTAACACAAGGGCTCTCATGTCCTCCCCCTCCTTCC